TTAAGTCTATCGGCAATGGACCGTGACGATGAGACATGCTCTATGAGCTAATCTGTAATGGAATGAACAAAAGCAAATGACATGAAAGTGAAAGATGGAATGAGATCAAGGGGGAGAATGTTAGTTGATCTCCACCAATAGGCCCAACGGCCTATTGGGCCCTATCTCTGCTCCCTGATCGGAGGAGCCCAACCCTAATTCGGTTGGTGGGCCCCTGTCGCACAGCACACATAAAAGGAAGGTGGGGGCGAGGGCTCGGACTAAGAGGTTCACTGGAGCCGCCATCCCACCTACAGAAACCCTAATACCGATCTAAAGAGCGGCTGCCAGCGACGGGATGTGCCCCACCGACGACACCGTCGCCCCCTGCAGGTCATCGCCGTCGCTCCGACATCACCTCCTCGCCACTACGACGTCCACTACTGCCGCGGCACTGGCGTCCATGCTTTCCGAGAAGCCGCAACAGAGGAAGGCGAGGATCCTAACTGGATCTACGGGTTACACACAGAGAGGTACACACAATATCGATCCTAACACACCCGGCTCGGCTCCGGCGCGGCCGCACGGTGTTCAGCGCGCGCTCCCCAACGGCCTTGCCGTGGCGGTCAAAGTTTTCCACGCCACCTTGACCGTAAGACCGAGGAGGCGCAGTTCATGGCGGAGGTGGGCACCATTGGGCGGACGCACCATGTGAACCTCGTCGAGCTCTTCGCTTCTGCCGACGATGCCATGCGCGCTGTGCGGTGTCGCGAGTACATGGAGCACGGCACCTGGGCGCCTACCTCGCCGCCGGGGCCGCGACGCCATCGGCCTCCCGGCGCTGCGCGCGACATCGCCGTCGGCGGCGTGGCGAGGGCATCCGGTACCAGCACGAGGAGTGCCAGCAGAAGATCGTGCACTACGACATCAAGCCCGGGAACGTTCTCCTCGACGGCGCCACACGCCCAAAGGTCGCCGACTTCGGGCTCGCCCGGCCGGTGAGCCGTCGCGGACACGCACGCCTCGTGTCGGCATTCGAGGCACGCTGGGTTCGCCGCGGAGATGTGGATGATGTCGAGCGCCACGGAGAAGTGCGCGACGTACAGCTTCGGCATGCTCTTGCTCGAGATCGTCGGCAGGCGGCGGAACTTCGACGGGCGGCGCCGAGAGCCAGCGGTGGTTCCCCATGCTGGCGTGGACCAAGTACGAGAGGGGTGAGCTCACGGAGCTCATCGTTGCACCGAGCCATGGAACCAGTGGTAGTGTTGCTGCTGCGGTGGCGGGTGACGACGAGCAGGAGGAGCAGAGCAAGGAGATTGTGGAGAGGATGTGTAAGGTGGCGTTCTGGTGCGTGCAGCAACTGCCGGAGGCAAGGCCGCCGATGAGTGCGGTGACAAAGATGCTTGAGGTAGAGGTGGACGTAGCCCCGCCGGCGAACCCGTTCCAGCATCTGATGGCAGCACCAGTTGTGGCGAACCTGTGGACGACGACGATGACGAGTGGTGGCAATGGAACAATAATGGGATCTTGACGCCTTACACTTGACCACGGGATAAGCTGTAAATCTGTAATACCGTGGCAACAGAATTGAAACTTCAGATACTTTTTTTTTATTAAAAGAACATGCCAAATTTTCTGGTGAAGGCCACCGGCCCCTCGTGAACGTGAAGGCGCTGTATGCCACCAACGGTGCCACGGTTCCACAGGAACCAAACAAATCGCGCTTTTAGTTCCCATGGAAACCGGTAACGCCGACAGTTGATTACATTGCCATTCCGTTTGAACCAAACAGCACCTACTAAATCTGTGGATATATACAACACTTTGGTGATCCGTGGGTTTTGATCACCTGAATTATTTGGTCAAATCACTTAGATTTCTTAATGCCATAAATTCATGTGATACAACCGTATCCATCCGTCGCATAAATTTTACAAGACAATGCGATTTTAACAAGTATATATAAAAGTTTGAAAAGAAAATTTTAAACAAACATATAACGGATTTAATTAATGAAACAAATGCTTCAAGCAAAACCAAGGATTTTCATATAGGTTTATAGTTACAACAATTCTACGATAAAATAATCCCTATAACTTTAATATAGATATAGTGTAAATTGGTTATAGTGATTATTTTAGCGTACAATTGTTGTAACTATAAACCTACATGAAAATCCTTTGTTTTGTTTGAATTATTTGTTTTATTATTAATTGAATCTGTTATATGTTTATTTAAAATTTTCTTTGTAAACTGTTATATATTTGTTAATAAAATCGCCTTGTCTTGTAAAATTTCTGTGATGGATACGGTGGTATCACATGAATTTATGGCATTATAAGAAATCTAAGTGATTTGACGGGATCATTTGGGTGATCGAAACCCACAGATAGTCCAGGTTTTGTATCGAGAGGTTTAGGTATTGTTTGGTTCAAATATGGGTAAATTTGTTTGGTTCATTTGAAAGTGCTTCCCATTTTCATTAGTCTTACAACATCTCCAAGAGACTCTCTAATTCCTTCCTAGATGCTAGGAATAGAGATTTTGGTGAAAATTACCCTCCAACAGCTTTTTTAAAGCCCCGTTTGACGGGGCTTCTCCACCGGCTTTAGGAGCTGTTTGAAGCCGTTTTCTGCAAAACGTGATAAAATAAAACGGCTTCACGGAAGAAGCCCCTAAAAATGTGCTGAGACAAAAGATAGATGAGGGGTGGAGCCAAAAATAGTGGCTTCACCTGGCTTCAGCTTGCCTACATGGACACAATCGAGGATGAAACCCCGTATTGCCCCGTAAAGCCTCGCGGGCGCGTAGGGTCACTGGCACGGGCGCAGCCACCGGTGGGAGGGGCAAGGCCACCGGCGGAGGGCACGGACGCCTGGGGAGGGGCGCGACCATCGATGGGAGTAGCGCGGCCGTCGGGGGAGGGGCGCCGCCACCGGCAGGAGGGGTGCAGCAACCGGTGGGAGGGGCGCCGCCACCTGGAGAGGGGCGCAGCAACCGGCGGGAGGGGCGCGGCCACCTGAGGAGGCGCTCAGCAACCGGCGGGAGGGGTGTGGCCGCTTGGGGAGGGGAGCCGCCACCCGCAGGAGGGTCACGGTCGGGAGGTCGTGGCCATAGGCGTGGAGGCCCGTCCGCGCTTAGCCGTCAGGGATGCACGCGAGCGCCTGGGGGAGGGTCGCTGGCACCAACGTGGATGCGCGCGCTCGCTCGGGGAGGGACGCGACCATCGGCGAGGAGGTCTGTTGGGTACGGGAGGATGAGGATGAGAGATATGTCGGGAGAAAGAAGAAAGAGAGTAAGGGTATTACAGACATTTTAGCATTTTCATGTGCCATGAAGAGTTGTTTTGCCAAACGGGTCATTAAAACGGCTTCAGCTTCATCGGTGGAGTCGTTCGTGGAGCTGAAGCCAAAAAAATGGCTTAACTGGTGAAGTGAAGCCCTGCCAAACAGGGCCTAAATGATTATCCAAATATGACCATCTTATATTCTGAATTTTTCGCTAGCAAAAAATAGAAGATGAGAATGGCTCTATAGAGAGCGCATGAGATATAGAAAAACTGTTGGAGAATGAGACTTAGAAAGACTCTTGAGATGCCCTTACAGTGCTTGGTTGTCAACAAACATAACTGCAACTGCAATGACCAATGCTCAAGGGCAGGGGTGTTTATTTGGGGCAGCCAATGTACGTCCTCTTCCCGTGCCTGGGTATGCGTAGCTCCAGCACGCCACGCACCATGGCCTCAACGCTGGTGTCATGGAACCATGGCACTGGGCTCTGGCACGCCACACCAGCTAAACAACCCCTCCCCCCGTCAGCACCGTTAGTGGAGTGCCGCGTCTTCACGAGGGGGGGTGGGAGACCTGATCCAGGAAGATGTTGAGGCCTGTGGACACGACTCCCTTACCTGACGCGCCTATCTTCCCCGGACGCCTCACCTTCGCCCGCCTCTGTTCTTCTTCTTCCCTGGCCAGCCCCACCCCCGCCCACCTCAACCACCAGTGACCTTGCTCCCCCACTCATCGCCAGACGAACCCGCACTTCCCTAATCCCAATCGAGAGCTTGTCGGCGACTCCTCGACCTCAACGCCGGCACCGCCCATCCGGTTATCTCCCTCCGCCCACTGAGCCCGACACCACCGCCGGGCCGGCCGATGGCCTCGGGCCCATTCTACTAAGGCCGCCAGCCATAGATGGTCGCAAAATTTGAAACCCTGGCCGTGGCGACCTCGCCGCTGGCGGTTCCACCCACCGCCTGCCTCCTGCCCCCGCCCTTGCTCCCCTCTTCCCCAATTCTGGTGACGTGTGTGCCCCTTTAGTTAGCGACGCACGTGCGCCCGATAAAATTTTGGCCGTGGACACGGAGACATGGTATGTATCCCCGATTGATTCGGATCCTCCAAGATTTCGGCGTGGAGACGTCGTATGAGAGAGGCAGAGAGATGGTCGTTGTGGGATCGGATATATAGCACCGGTAGAGGAGTGGTAATGTCGTTGTATGGGCTGGGATGCGATAGCACTGTGATCGATTGCGAACGGACTCAACCAAACGCAACCGGTAAGCAACGGGATCCGAAAGCACCGTAGACCGAACAAAAAACATCAATCAAACCAAAAGCGTATCTGTTGCCACGGTAATGGTATTAGGCTGTCCGCACCGCGCACCGCTAAAGCGGCTGGTACGCTAGCGGTGGCGTACCGCGCGCCCGCACCGCGCTCCTGCAACGCGCGCGGTAGCGTACCGGCCGGGCCTGCCACCGCTACAGACAGCGTAGGCGAGGGAGGCGCGATAAACACTGTAGCAGGGAGAGAGACAGAGTTGGTGAGAGAGAGAAAGGGGGAGGGAGGGGAATAAAATATAGAATAGTGGGTATAGAGTATGGGATAGAGATAACACAGGTGCAGGAGAAATGAGTATAGAGTAGAGAAGCTCGATGACTAGGATAGAATATTCCTTTTAAGAGATGGAAATAGAGGTCGACGAGTGCGGATAGCCTTACACAGTTACAGGTTTATTCCTGTTAGGCTCCCTTTGTTTCCATCGTGCCTGCGGTCAAGATCCCATTCCCCGTGCTACAACTGGTCGTCGTCGTCCACAGGTTCGCCGCGACCGGCGCTGCCATCAGATGCTGGAACGGGTTCGCCGGTTGGGCTATGTACACCTCGCCCTCAAGCATCTTGGTCACCACACTCATCGGTGGCCTCGCCTGCAGCAGTTGCTGCACGCACCAGAACGCCACCTTGCACATCCTCTCCACCATCTCCATGATGCTCTGCTGTTCCTGCTCTTCCGTCGCCCCAGCCGCAGCAGCACTACCACTGGTTCCATGGCTTGGTGCAACGATGAGCTCCTTGAGCTCACCCCTCTCATACTTGGTCCACGCCAGCATGGGGAACCACCGCTGGCTCTCGGGCGCCGCCTCGTTGAAGTTCCTCCGCCTGCCGACCATCTCGAGCAGGAGCATGACGAAGCTGTACACGTCGCACTTCTCCGTGACGCCCGACATCTTCCACATCTCCGGCGCGGCGTACCCGGGCGTGCCTCGAATGCCAGACACCGTGACGTGCGTGTCTGCACGGTTCACCAGTCGGGCGAGCCCGAAGTCGGCGACCTTGGGCGTGAGCGCGCCATCGAGGAGCACTTTGCCGGGCTTGATGTCATAGTGCACGATCTTCTGCTGGCACTCCTCGTGCAGGTACCGGATTCCCCTGGCGACGCCGACGGTGATGTCGCGCAGCGCCGGGAGGCCGATGACATCGTGGCCCTGGCCGGCAAGGTACGCGTCCTGGGCGCCGTGCTCCATGTACTCGTACACCAGCGCGCGCATGGCATCGTCGAAGCAGAAGCCAAAGAGCCTGACGAGGTTCACATGGTGCGTCCGCCCAATGGTGCCCACCTCCGCCATGAACTGCGCCACCTCGGTCTTCTGGTCGAGGCTGGCATGGAAAACTTTGACCGCCACGGCAAGGCCGTTGGGGAGCGTGCCCTTGAACACCGTGCCGAAGCCGAGCCGGGTGGAGTAGTTGCGCGTGAAGGCGGCGATCTGCCGCGTTGTAAACCTGAACCGCTTCCCACGCCTCATCTCCCAGAGGAACTTCTCCACGGTCGCGTGCCTCATCTGAACATTATCTGTTATATTAGTATTTCGCGATGAAAGAAAACCCATTACGTTTAGATTAATGGAATAAAATAAAAACATACACCATTAGATTTTATGATAATATATAACATGTTAGACCACATATCTATATAAATATATATATATATATATATAACATGATGTCATAACGCTATGTTTTACCATCAAAGGGGCACCTGCTACAGCTACGACGGAAGGTGGTAATGGGCCAGAGGCAAGAAGCCCAAGAGTCAAGAAGCCCAACCCACATTTTGTCGAGCCTGAGTGGAAATAGTCTTAGCTCTACCCATATAATGGGCAGACGGCTCGGTTGTCTTGTAAAGGAAGGAGAGACGGAGAGAGAAGATAAATTTGGGCTTTATTGTAATCAAACCGAGCCGGTGGCTGTGGTAATGGTGGGTGCGGCTGTCGCCGGGGACCCGAAGAACTCCAAATTGCATCTCGTTACCATCCTACCTAGATCTTGTCGGTAACATCTAGTATCAGTTTTGAGTTCGATACACCCCCAAATCCACTATTACACTCCGGCAACCAATTTTGGCACCACAGATCCATACCTCACGCGGCGACAGATGACTATGACGACACCGAAGATGCAATTGGACCAGATCCTCACGTTGCTGGGTGAAAACTCCAAGGGCACATGGTAGAGATTAGGGCGTTGTGGATGGAGCTCTGCACTTGAAAGCCCCAAGTCGACAACCATGTCCATGAGCTAGAGCATGTCGTGATCGATCTCAGCGAGCACATTGAGCAAGCGCTAGGTAGCCTCTTCCATGAGTCGATCTGGTTAGAGAAATACCACTAGGCGTCATCAGTCATCACCATCACACAACCTTCTCCATTGGCCCAAAGGGGAGATATCTTCTCCTGTAACACATGAAGATGTCGGGGTCTGCCCATCTGGAGCCGACCATGCAGGGGGCGGTGTCTAGTTCAATAGCCAGCAAAATCTTAACCGGGGTCTTGGATTCGGGGTGGTGTACACTGCGGCCCCGGAGCCTACCCGGATCACAGGTGTGCAGAATCACCTCAACACTTCTCCAACTCGTTTCGTGTTTGATGGTTCTCAGCGCGATGACCTAAGGGTTCCTCCTAGTGCTCTGCCTAATTTATCTTTTCCTCAGTTCGGTGGGTCTAATCTTGAGCTTTGGGTTAAATGTTGTGAAACTTACTTTGACGCTTATACGGTCGATGCTTACTTGTGGGTCAAAATAGCCTCTATGAATCTCATAGGCTCAGCTGCTCTCTGGTTACACTTGCAAAACAATCTTTACTCTGTGTCTTGGGATGAGTTTGCCACAGCCGCATGCCATAGATTTGACAAGGACGAACATAACCATCTTCTTAGACACTTCTTCCATATTAGCAAAGTTCTGTTTCTAAGTACATTGAAACCTTCAGTAACCTTGTACACCAGTTGTTTGCTCATGACCCCACCATAGCTTTCTCTGTTATTACCAACCATTATGTTGATGGTTTGAAGAAAGAAATTCAAGCTATTGTAATGATTCATAGACCACATGAATTGGATACTTTTGGTTCTTTGGCCTTATTGCAGGAAGAAGAAATGGTGGACTCTTCTTACAGATAGTTCAAGAAGCAAGACTATTCAAACCCTTCAAGGAAGATTTATGTAGACAACTCAAATTCACAATTGCATCAACCATATAGTCCATTCAGAGTTATGACATCATCAACTGGTGAGAAGAAACAAATTGAACATATCAAGCCCAAGACTACTAATGACAAACTTTTAGCATTCAAGACTTATAGAAGAGCTTGTTCACCTCTTTGGATATGTGCACTGGGTTCCACCAAGTCAAAATGGCTAAGGGAGAGGAACACAAAACATTTCATAGCATTTCAGACACACCATGCATGGCCACTTTGAATGCAGGGTTATGCCTTATGGAATTACATGGGGACCAACTACCTTCGAAGGACTGATGAATTAGTTGTTAGCACCTTTTTCTGAGGAAATTTGTGGTAGTGTTTGTAGATGATGTCCTCATCTATAGCAAAACATGGTCTGGTCAACTCTCTCACATATGACAAATCTTCTCGGTGCTTCAACAACATCAGTTTTACATCAAATTAGCCAAATGTTCATTTGCCAAGAGCCTACTGCATTACCTGGGTTATGTCATCAGCTCATATGGAGTTGCCACAGACCCAGCAAAGATCCAAATTATATCTGATTGGCCACCCCCAACTTCAGTGAAGGAACTTAGAAGCTTCTTATGTATGTCTGGTTACTAAAGGAAATTTGTAAAAAAAAGTTTGGCCTCTTGTCTAAACCTATAACAAAATTTTTAAGAAAATTGGAGCAATACATTTTGACTTCCACCCAAGCCTCTTCCTCTGAGGCCTTGAAGCAATCCCTCATCACTACACAAATTTTAGCAAGGCCAAACTTTTCTAAACCATTTGTACTTGAAACTAATGTGTCTGACAAGGGTATTGGTGCAGTCCTTCATCAAAACAGCCATCCATTTGCTTATGTTAGCAAAGTTCTTGGACCCAAGGCTCAAGGTCTTTCAACCTATGAAAAGGAGTGCATGGCTATCCTCCTTGCATTTGATCATTGGAGGCCATATCTACAACAGTTAGAGTTTATTATACAGACTGATCCTAAAAGTCTTACTCATCTTGATGATCAAAGGCTCACTACACCTTGGCAGCACAAGGCTCTAACTAAACTACTTGGGCTCACATACAAATTAGTGTACAAGCAAGGCAAGGAAAACAAAAGTGGCAGATGCTCTCTCCAGAACCACTCATGCAAATACTCATGTTCTAGATGCTATTTCTATAATTCAGTACTGAGTGCACTGCATTACAGTCCAACAGGGGGACATTCTAGCATAGAAGTTACCTATAACAGAATCAAGAAACTCTTTGCTTGGCCACATCTTAAATAGTCTGTCAAGGATTTTGTCTCCCAATGTTGAGTATGTCAGCAAGCTAAGCTCGAAAGAGATGCATATCCTGGTCTTCTGGCTCCCCATCCCATACCAGTAGGAGCATGGCAAACAGTCTGCCTAGATTTCATTGAAGGGCTTCCAAAGGTGGGCCTCTTACAATTAGTTGTATTCTAGTGGTAGTAAATAAATTCTCCAAATATACCCATTTTCTTCCACTGTCCCACCATTTTCTTCCACTGTCCCACCCATTCACAATAATGCATGTTGCCTTAGCCTATATGAACCAATTGTACAAACTCCATGGCCCCCCTAAAGCCAATATATTTGATAGAGAGAAGATCGTCATCAGTCAAGTCTGGAAGGAACTATTCAAGCTAAACAAAGTAGACCTATTAATAAGTAGTGCCTACCACCCCCAAGTTGATGGTCAAACAGAGAAGGTAAACCAATGCCTTGAAACCTATCTTAGATGTTTTGTTCACACTTGTCTTACTAAATAATGGTCATCATGGTTATCTCTCTTGAGTTTTAGTACAATACTTCTTACCACTCATCCTTGGCCATACACCATTTAAGGTGCTCTATGCCATGAACCTAACCATCTCGGCATTGATGTGGTGGAAACTTGTCAGAATGTTCATCTTCATACATGGCTTCAATAAAGAGAACTGATGCAACACATAGTTCATCAGCATCTTCTTCTTTGTAGATGTTGTGAATAAATCTATTCATGATGCCATATTGAATCATAACATAGCTTTCTTGAACACATTCCACAATACCATGAAGGAGGTGTTTCATGGATATCCAATTGATCAGGTTGGACCGGCTTATTACAACATTCCACATCCGTCGACTTAGGGGACTAATCAAGCCGGTACTAGCCATCAAGAAGCAGCACTAGCTGGCAATGATGATGCCCAGATAGTTCAGAGCTTATCTGAGCAAGTTCATGGTACTACTACTAATCAAAAATTTTAGCACATCAGGCCAAGTACCACCGTCGGCTCAAAAAATAGCGCCATCAGTTCAAAAGATTCGTAGAGATATAGATCCCAACATTTACAATCAGAGACTTCAAGCAGTAAATCAGCAAAGGACTCAACAGATAGGGATTCCACAAGGATATCATTATGGTATAGATTATAATACCCTTCATATGATTCCAAATCTAGGGTATCAAGGTACCCAAAATTTTAATCCGTAGATGGGTCAGCAATTGTAAAGAAATTCAAATTTAAATGCTGATGAGTTGTTACTCAGAGTAACCGAGATGATAAAGAATCAGTTCGGCTTGAAACCAAAAGGGTAGACCTTTTCGTATAAATGTCCATATCCAGAGTGGTATGATTTGGATGCTCTTCCTACGAATTACAGGCTTCCGGAATTTGCTAAGTTCACTGATCAAGATATTATAAGTACTATAGAACATGTCAGTCGGTATCTTACTTAGTTGGGCAAAGCATCCATTGAAGAAGCTCATCGAGTTCGTTTCTTCTCCTTGTCCCTGTCAGGACCAGCTTTCACCTGGTTCTCATCGTTACCAGTTAATCCTATTGCCAATTGGACTGACCTGGAGAAAAAAATTTATACATATTTCTATACTGGGACGGGAGAGAAGAAAATCACAGATTCGATGACCATAAGGTAAAGAACTAATGAATTGGGCGATGAGTTTCTTCAGAGGTTCCGAGAAACAAGAAATTTGTGCTTTTCATTGAATCTGACTGATGATCAGCTAGCTGCTTTGGCTGTCCAAGGAATGTTGCCAACGTGGAGAGAAAAACTGCTTGGGCAAGAGTTTGACAATTTAGGTCAGTTAGCTCAACGGGTGGCAGCACTTAATAGCCAATTCTAGAATATGCGTAGGGATACTCGATTCTAGAAGAATGCCGCAATTGCTGAAGCTTATATTCCATATTTAGCTGATGATGGCGAGGATGATGACGAAGAGGAGATTGCTGCAGCTGAATGGAATTGGGGTAAGAAGACAGTGATGGTGCCAAATCTTTGGGGAAAAGGAGTCGAAGAAAGCTATGATCTTGATGTATCAAAATCAGACAAGCTCTTTGATTTCTTGCTTGAGAGAGGACAGATCAA